GCCCCATGTTATTCTAACCTTTGACAATATAGTTGCTTTTTTGGTGGAGACTCCAGTTATAAACTCGACAGCCAGGGTTCCGGCATTTGCGATCATCTTCAGGCCGAACTGCCGGGCATCCAGCAATCGCGCCCTTGCCTGGGTTGCACGACACTCGCAGGCGCCTGATAGAACACCAGGGTCTGGAAAGGGTCAAACTCAACAATTGGGGTATGCAATCCCTTCCGGTTTTGGCCAGTCTTCCACAGGGGGTTTTAACGAAGCTCGTTTAGCTGAATGCAGACTTGCTTTCGACTGTCATGGCAATCAACTTGACCTGCTTGTTCAGCAAAACGAATCTTAGGGCCGAAATGCTTCCAACGGACCCGCACAAAAGATATTATTATTTTTGAGCCATGACCGAACATGGACCAACAAAATGGGAAACCGAAAGGTTAGAAGGTCCGCTTTGGGCAAGTGAGTCCTATGATCATGGCGAAATGTGGTGAAACTGAGAGAATTCACTCATCCGGAAACAACAGCCTCAGATCAGCCGATCACGAACATCTTCCGCGCACCGCAAGTTGGGTCAGCGCATTGCGCTTTGCAGCGATATCCCGCAAACAATTCCAAACAAGCATCTACGCAAGTTTCTGCGAATAATTTACAATTGAACATAAGGAATTCCAAAGTAAAGGGCCTTCGCCACAGGCGAGCTCGTCCCACCAAGGTGAGCTTGTTATAGCTTGCCTAGGTGACCATTGTGGCAAGTGAAACAACCAGAACCCGAAATTGGATCTGCTCGCTGCAAAGCAGCTAGTCCAAAGATTGAATATACACTGGTTGTCGACTATTACGTTCAAACAAGGACTGGAAAGAATGGAGAGTTCTCCTCCCACCAAACAGCCTTTCCTTTTGGGAAGAAGCCTTTTGCAGTTCCACGCTCGGAAGGGAACGCCAAAGCTCTCCCCCGTGCCTCCGAGCTCTCCCCTTTCAGCTGCTTCAGAGCCTTCTTCACCATGATTCGCGTCCTGAGGCCCGCGGGAAATCGCCGGGCAACGCTTCCCAAGCCAAAAGTCACCCATCCACAACGGCGATCAGTACTGGTCAAAAGGGATTGAACACCTCCCAACATGTTGGTGTTACTTTTGATTCCTAAACCAATCCTCCTATCGCCGATAAAGCAAAATTATCGAGACTCAAAAACAGCACGGCCATATGCTTGTTGCAGTAAGGGGCCGCCGAATCGCATCAGTCCGTGGATTTACTGCTGAAATCCCGCGGTTTTCCGCCTCATTGAGGTCTGAAACCAACCACCAGGCAAAATTAGCCGTTTTGCGGCATGTTGCAATGGCCCACAAGTCAGCAACTGCAAAAGGTCAACTTGCTGGTAAGAACAACCAAAAGCCAAATATACGAAACAAGTCAAGCTTGGCAATGTGTTCAGTCTTTGTCTGAGGTGTCCGGCTGCAGAATCTCATAGAGCATCCGCGGCAGGATCCCAGGCTTCTTGGAGCGTTTCAGAAAAATGGCCTGGACTCGGCCCCGAGCATGTGAGCCAGTGTCTAATTGTTCGGAAACAGCACACTGGATTAATTCAAAGGTGTGTCACCTGGATTTGGTGGGAAACTTAGTGAGGCCCCGGATATGTTGACCAAAGCGCATGTAAGTGTTTGTTTTTAAGCATGGGGATGCCCAAATTCCTTGAGCCATCCAGACAAAAAAAGGCAACATCCATTGCCATGAACCTCACACCGGGGCAGAGTTTTTCTGGAATGTCATCCTGAAAGCTACGCAGAGGCTACGCGATCCTACGCGGAAGGCTACGAAGGGGTCCCTGCCACAAAAAAGTGATAACGTTTGGAGGTTCATGTCAATCTGCCGGAGAATAGCTGCCGATCACAGGGTGTTCCCTGGCAAAATGGCTCAGGCCTCGTTGGGTGTCACTGAGAGGTCTTCCGCCCTGGCAAAAGCTGAAGGTCCGTCTCTGGGTTGAACCCCTGTTTGGGTGGCTTTCTTTAAGGGATATCAAAACCAAATCATCGATGTATGGGCTGGGTGTGAGTTGTATGACTGAGGTGAATAATTCAACAAAAGTCGAGGCGGATTCTTGAGGTCAGACAGGAATGCCACTCTGGCTGGACATGGATTTGCTGCTGACTCGAACGCATGTGCCCACGCCTGCAATTCGGCTGCTCGTACGCCTGTGCATCAAAGTTCTCTCTTGCCCAGCTTGTCATTATCTGAATGCGGCCTAGAAATTGAGCAGCAGCAATTCGGGAGTTGCAACACGACGCATTCGCGGCAACCTATCTGCGTCCCTCCTATTTTGGCCACACAGGCCTTGTAGAGACACATCAAACACTCTCTGGAAATGACTTGCCCTCATTCGAGCAATCGGCGAACACAACCGCAGGTTTTCTAAGGGGACTATCCCCCCAATTCTACGTAGTCTGTAGGGCGCACTGACAAAAACCAGTGCCCCGGTTCCGCCTTTGACCAGTCGCACCAAGCGCGCCCTTGCGTCGGTCTCAAGGCGGTTCCGCACCCGAGCCCCGCCTCCAGCACCCCAAGCTTGGAAATTCCCTGCGCATGGCTCTGAAGGCGTCCCACCTCCAGCGCACAGGGCTCCCTTTCCACATTTCACATCAAAGGAAACTCACTTCAAATTGGCGCATGCGATGATTCAAACCAAAGGGGGAAGTACAAGGGAACCCTGCCTCACGTCCAACGGAGATAAGTCCCTTTCACAAGGGTAGAAAGCTTGACCCTGAGCCCTGTTTCAGAGAGTTTTGAAAGAACATGAAAGGGGACCATCCATTTTTAGGGTTCTCCTGCTGTGTGTGTGTACGTGTCCTGCACGTGTCCTGCAATTTTGAGCCAGGCTTGCTGTACAAAGAAACGTGGCAAATGCCATGGTAAAAACAAAAAGCAAAACCCTCACCTCGCAAGCAACGACCTCAGCATGCAAACCAACAAACAACGCTTAGCATTTCCAGCCGTGGCATCAAGCCATGTCCAGCACCACTTCACCCGCAAACCCCAGGCCACGTGAAAAAAACTGTGAAGATCTGACTCAAAGCCCGTTGCGTCGGCTCTTGCCTTGGTTGGTGGTATTGTTGTTTATTGTGCTTTTTGGCTTCAACGCAACTGCGATACGCCTTGCTGTTCCTGGGTGGTCCCGCAAACTGCAGCTTGCCCACGTTTGGGGAGATTCTCTTTGCAAGCGCTGAACCTCCAGCCAAAATCCCCGTGATTTTGAAGGATCGTGTTCTAGAAAACAAGAAGCACCCTAGCGCAAAAGTAAGCACCTTGACGTTAAAATCCATGGCAGGGTCACAGTTTTGCGCAAGTTGAATTGTCATTGTGGCTGCTTAAAACAAAAAGCACGCCGCGCGCAGCAGCAAATTACTCGGCGGGCTGCTTGAGATTGGCCCTTTCTAATGGGGAACCCACCAGACACAAGTTCGGGTGTGGCGGCCAATTACTAAGCAAAGGAAAGGGAGGAGCGTAGGTCCTGATACAGGTTCCAGTAGACTGAAAGGGACTCAATGGCATCTCCTACCTCTTCCCTGCTTCTCCCTCTGCTAATTGTCCAGCCTGAAACTAGACCATTGGCCCGAAAGCATCACAGCCCCGTGACCATTCTGCGCAAGTTGCTCTGGGCAAGGTGCTTTGCGCAAACTGGTCTGTGCAAGTTGCTCTGCGCAAGTTGCTCTGCGCAAGTTGCTCTGTGCAAGTTGCTCTGTGCAAGTTGCTCCGTGCAAGTTGCTCCGTGCAAGTTGCTCCCTGCAAGTTGCTCTGTGCACGCTGCTCCGTGCAACTGACTCTGTGCAAATGTCTCTGTGCAAGTTGCTCTGCGCAAGTTGTTCTGTGCAAGTTGCTCTGCGCAAGTTGCTCTGCGCAAGTTGCTCTGTCAAAGTTGCTCTGCGCAATTTGCTCTGTGCAAGCTGCTCTGTGCAAGCTGCTCTGTGCAAGTTGCTCTGCGCAAGTTGCTTTGTGCAAGCTGCTCTGTGCAAGAAGCTCTGCGCAAGTTGTTCTGTGCAAGTTGCTCTGTACAAGTTGCTCGGTGCAAGTTGTTCTGCGCAAGTTGCTCTGCGCAAGTTGCTCTGCGCAAGCTGCTCTGTGCAAGTTGCTCTGGCAAGTTGCTCTGCGTAAGTTGCTCTCCGCAAGTTGCTCTGGGCAAGGTGCTCTGCGCAAACTGGGGTGTGCAAGTTGCTCTGCGCAAGTTGCTCTGCGCAAAACGGTCTGTGCAACTTGCTCTGCGCAAGTTGCTCTGCGCAAGTTGCTCTATGCAAGTTGCTCCGTGCAGCTTGCGAAGCCCGCCCGCGGACGAGGGGGGAATCGAACACGCGACCCGCCGGTCCCGGGAGCAGGCGCGCGAACCACGAGACAACTCCCGACGACCAGTTCGAACAACAAAAGTTGCAAAAACCTCGAGTTTGTGCACCTCCTCGACCACACCCATCCCCGCAGAGGGTCGCGCAAGCACCGCAGAAATCGTAAAATAAAAAAACACAAAACTCGAGTTTTTGCACCTCGACCACGCCAATCCCCGCAGAGGGTCGATTTTCGTAGAGTGTCGTCGGCACTACCCCGCCGCCCTAAGAAGAGATTTTAACTCCTCGCAAGTCAGTTGCACTTGACTCCTTGCACTTGCAACTTGCACTTGACTCCTTGCACTTGCAACTTGCACTTGACTCCATGCACTTGCAACTTGCACTTGACTCCATGCACTTGCAACTTGCACTTGACTCCTTGCGCTTGCAACTTGCACTTAACTCCTTGCACTTGCAACTTGCACTTGACCCCATGCCCTTGGCTCCTTGCAACTTGCAATGACTCTCATGACTCCTTGCAATGACTCCTTGCAATGACTTTCATGATGATGATTCCTTGCAATGACACCTTGCAATGACTTTCATGATGATGATTCCTTGCAATGACTCCTTGCAATGACTCTCATGAGAACAACTCAAGTGAACCCAGCGGAAGAACCCTTCGCCATTTGTCCAGCCTGAAAAAAAAGGGAGGATCCAGGATGCCCGTGAACAACCTAAGCGCTTAACACGGCACCAAAAGATGATGTTTGAGCCTGCTACTATCATGGGGGCTTTTGACCGCGGTACACGCGTGTGCGCTGGGCGATCCTGCGCAGGTGGAGAAGCACAAGTTGTAGGCGATGATGATCGAGGGGTACAGCCTGGGACAGAAGGTGATTGCCTCTTTTAAAGAAACGAACAAGGCAACCATCATGTGATGTGCTGCTCTGGCACACGTTGATTCGGCGCATACAAACACCCGCAAACCTGCATGCGCAATCCAAATGCTTTAAATAGGGCACGGCATTTGCCTTATTGTGCTCACTCTCTCTCTCTCTCTCTCTCTCTCTCTCTCTCTCTCTGAGAATGTGCCAAAATCACGGTTCGACCAACCCAATAGGAGACCTCACATTTGGAGGGTTCCAACTTGAGAAAGTGACAGATGCCCAAATATAATAAAGCCACCACAAAGTGGGACCGAAACGATCAAACGGCGCCCGAATAGTTTTCCCAACTTGGTCATCCCTCACTCAAACCCAGAACCTAGTTTAGGATCTACTTCGCGTGGTTGCTCATAGCTTGCCTGGAAGTGGGACGACTCAGCTCGCAGCGACTGGAAATCCAAAACCACCACCGGGTCAAAGTAGAAGCCGCTGCGAGGCCTGCAGGCGAGTCCTCCTGGCTCTGGGCCTCTGCCCTTTCTTCAGGGGGGCTGGGGGGGAGGGAGGGGAGGGGGAGGGAGCCCCTTTGAGCCCCTATTAAGCCTCATTTGGGGCTGATTTGGGAACCCTTCCCTCCAACCCCCCAGCCCCCATGATTTCTGAGTTGTTGGCGTTGCTTCTTTGTTCGTGGTTTGATAGCGACAGCAACGGGGTCAATCCGCCAATACTGAGACACCAATTTGTCCGAAATGGGCTCCGTGGCTCCCTGGGCTCCCTGCTCCATCACCAAAGGGATGCATTCAGCTCCTCGTTGGCTCGCCACCTACGAGACGAGCCCCTGAAAAGTGGATCGACGCCGAACCGTCCACTTTGGAAAACGGGTTTATGAACTATGGACAATCAGGAGGTGCCCTCAAACTCCACAAATCGACGTTTCGGGGTGTAAATCTTCAAATGTGCAGAATGCCTACAAATGTTGGTGAGGTTGCAATCTCCTTTGTGTAGGTGTAACTGAAAGGAAGGAGATACAGTTAGTATTCATTGTGCCCCCAACACGGGGATTGGTGTGTAACCCCCTGCTCAATGTCATCTGAGTATGGACCGATGCATGCAAGAGGCTACCTCCAGCGGTCGTGGGAGAAGGAAGGCACTCATTGGCAGTTCACTGAAAGGAAACTCTTCCAAACATTGTGTTGGAAGGAAAACCCGTACAAAAAGGATGACCGAAGCACCACTGGAGGTCTAGGAAACTTGACACCCAACGCCTGCGCTCGCGAGGGAGACAACAAGAGCATGCAGTCTTGGTGAGCTGCTCGGCTTAACCTGGCGATGCGGTGAAAGGAAACGCTAAGGAAAACAACCACGTCTTCTTCAAACATGTGTAACACACAACAAATTCATTGTAAAAACAATGCCGCGGAATTCAACTATCATTTCGTGGCAAAATACGAATTGGAGCAAAGCAGGCCAGATTGGCAGTCCTTCCACTCGGTACTGCGAGCCCCGGGACAGCACGCTGAGCCTAACGAGTGGCCAAGCAGGCCAAGTTTGGTCCTACACTCTTCCTTCGAGGCGGGGGTGGGGGTACCCAACTCCATTGCCTTTCCGCCAGTTCAGGGACCGGGGTTCCTCCCAAAGACAACCCTCATGGGCATCTACATCCCTTTTCCAAGCGCCCGGGGCTGGCACACATCGAGCCCAAGCATGCGGGCTGCCTCGGCCGCCCGGGGAAGTACCTGCAGAGTCTGCATTTGCCTCTCCCCCCTCTCCTGGTATCATGGTAAGATTGCATTGGCTGAACCCTCTGCTAACATTTCTACGTGCACAGAGTATGTCCACCAACCCTTTCGAGGGTGCACGTGAACATTCAAGCTCATGCCCCTCAGAGAGGGGCATGATTTGCGGTAGGCCCTCTACCAAAGTGCGCAACCCCCCTTTGTTATCAAATTCATTGCGGCTCACTTGCCCAAGGGGGACACAGAAATAACAGGATGTCAAGACTCGCCGAAGCTGGCAAGGCCGGGAACATTTGGTTTTTCCATGTTGGTCTATGCGGCTTCGTAACCAAATGGGGGAACAAACAATGGGTGGTTTAGTGGATTATTTGCTTTCCCTTCCAAACCTCAAACAGATCCAAAAGGGTACCAAATGAAAACAAGCCCATGTGTAGTCAATTTTCCATAAGAAGACCCCCCCCAATCTCAGCCAACACTACTTTAAAGGGGCTGAGAAGGCTTGGCAATAAACAACAACTTCAATTTTGGCACCCATCAACACCCCCCCTCAATAAAGACTGTCCCCAGTGGGACCAAATCAAAAAATCATAAAGCAACAGCCGAATTGCAAAAGCTATTGTCAATACTTTCAAATGAGGGAGCGGCCAAAATGGGTGGGTTCTAAAGAAGATCCTTCAAAACACTATTAAACAGACAAACAATCATGTCTCACGGGTTGGCACCATGGCACCGCCCCATTGGAACTGGTGAAAAGCCATTGCCTGCGCCTGTATTTAGGCACCAATGCATCAAACGGCATTTTCTTTCATGCGCTGCCGTTCATTGTAGCCCTCTACACGGCGTGCGTAAGGGCGCTGGGCATGCATCCTCTGCAACTCTTGTGCGAGTCCGAAACCTTGAGGGACGCCGAAACGGCTTGGGGTTTCAGGCAGAAGGCAGAAACAAAACAGCTCCCTAAACGTTCTGAAAGGCGTGCGCCGGTCATAGCATACAAGCCCGAAATTGCCTGGGAAAGACCCCGTTGGCGTGATCCTCAAGCCTAGCAAGGGGCGAAACCTACTTGAATTTGTATGCCAGTCGGGCCATTCAAAGACCACTGCTGTTCGAGATCCTGATTGGGCTTGATAAAGTTGATCTTCCAAGTGCCATTTGAAGGCATCCCTTTACATGCATAGCTGTTGGTGTTCAACTCCCCATGTGTCCAGTATGGGTAGATGTTGATATCCCCGATGGTCACGGCTGGCAAGGCGGGGTCTCCTGGGATCGCTTGGACAACAAACTGCAAGGTTTCCGATGGCCCATCGTCATCGCCGCCAGACCAAACGATCTGGAAGTCTGTGACGATATTGTCTATGCAGCAAGCCTCTTGCAGCGTGTCAAAGGAGAAGGAGTTGTTCCCCACGTTGAGTACCACTCCTCCATAACCTGGTGTGTGAAGAAACTCCGAAATCCCGCCAGAGCAGGACTTTGAGGCTTTTGAGCCCCGCGTTTCGACCCGCTGTAGCAAGGCATTCGCATCACATGAGTCAGAGGTGTCGCAAGCAAACCCCGGCATGGTCAAGCCTAGCCATGCCGCAATCACGAGACCGCGGCTCATGAAGCAACAGGCAAAAGATACGCGCTTGCCTTGAGCGTTGAAACAGCTTTCGGTCCAAAAGCTACTCACCGTTCACCCAAAGCTTCCGCCACCGGGAAGGAGCAAGTGGCCACCCCTATTTTTTCTGCAAAGGTGCCTTTGCGCAAACAGGTAAAGAAAGAAACACGCAATTGTACAGGACATAAGATCTGCTTTTTTGAACCTTGCCGGCACCTCGGTTGGTTGTTCGAGGGGGAAGCCAAAGGAAACCCGATGCCGAAATTGGGGGCTCCGTACCCCATTTGTTGCATGGTCAACATGTTATTCTCTGGGCCCTTGGGCCATGGTCGCGAATTGCTCAACAGGAACCAATGGTCAAAAATAACTTGAAGACGTCAACCACAAATCCTGCCACTCCCAGATCATACTTGTGACCCATAGCACAGACGCATCGTTGACAAAACCTGCAACCTAAGGCCCACGTTCAGAGAGTCGAGAAGCCGGAGGCTGCAGCCTGTTCGGCCTCCCAAGCGACTTGTGTGGTTCGACTGGGCAACATGCCGCAACCTGGAACAATAAACATAAAGGATATAGTTTAACTTAACAACTTGAATAAACTGTCACACACAGGCAGTATACAATTCAACACAACACGCAGTATACAGCTGCAAACAGCCTGAAGAAACTATTAGCACATACAGTCGTGGTTGAAGATAATGCTTAAAACATACAGTGATATGGTGTCAAAACTTGGGATCACCCGCCAAATGGTTGGCCTTGGGGTGTCCTTGGAACCGTGCCCTGCTTTTGTGGCCTTGCGTGTCTTTGTCCACAACCTCTCGGGGGGCCCCAAGAACAGGGTTGCGCCGAAGACCCTGAACACGTTCTACCGTGGCTGAATTATCGTTTAGAGGCGCGGAGTGATGCTAAAGAACCTGGATTCCACCGTTTGAACTTAGAACGCCTTCCATGCCCTGCGTAGAAGGGCATCCGGCAACTCACGTGGCCGATTAATATATTGAACTTGCCTGAGGAAAGTGTCCAGTCCTACTAATTGATTTCAAACGTATCATTGCTTTCTTCTGCTCTCCGAATCCAAGGTGAAAATCATCGTTCACACTTTCAACCACCTTTCCCTCCTGAACACATGGTTCCCAGGATTCCTTGAAAGTGATTTGGAGTCAGTCCAAGGTTGTGGAAGGTGCTCCTCTCTGTGATGCCAAAGCGGTTGATGTTGCTCCCCGTGACGACTTTGCTGTTCAAAACATTGTTTCTTAAAAGTGCTCACTGAACCATCCTGCACCCCCCCCCACCCGTTTCCCGCAAAAAGGAGTCAATCAGAAAAAGGCTGGTGTGAACCATTTGCCCGTCCGGATACATCAAACAGTTACCCATCCCCTTCTGGCTTCCCTTTGGGTTAGCACCCAGCGGCTGGACGGGAAACAGAAGTCTGGAAATGTCCGCCGGGCATCCGGCACAAGAGGACCTCGCAAGCCTCTGTGCGGCCTCGGATGGCGAACTGCCCAATGCGCCATGGGCGGGTCTACATGCGCGACTTGCAAATGCTGGATCCTTCCGGAAAAAATAACATGGGGTCTCAAAATAATTAGGGAACTGGCAAAGCTAGTGTTCCCCTTCAAACCATCCAAAAAAGCGTACCATCGAAAACAAACACACCCTTAAGGGTCGGTCTCAAACTAGGGAAGCCCTCTTGTTAAAGCTTTTGGAGGGAAACCAAATCAAGACCAAATCCCAACTCCAGGGGGAGAGGTGGCCCTTTCCCTTTCTGAGCAAAGTCTCACAATTCCAAATTGGAACACCAATGAACCTTCATCGTGTGGATGTTGCTCCCAAGAAGTCCACCACTGTGCCAGCTATACGTGCCAACACACACCTACTTGATCCTACTTGCAATGCTCCTGGCATCAATTGATGGGGGGTTGAGGCTCGATTGTGCAATGATCCATCCTCGATGCGTAACATGGTCTTTGGACGTTGCTCTTAAACCACTCAAAACGAGTCGCCCAATCACTTTGGCCAGGCCAAGTATCCCTCGACTCTACTCGCGTCTCTTGCCTCCTATCCCAAAACTTCGGCCCCAAGGGCAAGCGATGAGGACCTCCCGAAGGGACATTCCTCAAAATTCGGCATCCGAATGGTTGGTTTGAGGCCCAGTTCAAGAGGTTCCCCCGCTACGGGCCACGCGGAGACGGCGCCGCACTTCTTTCGATCGATTTTTCTTCACGCGGGAAACGATCAGGTGATCCTCATTGGATCCGATTGGTGGCCAACAGCCACGCACTAATCTCCAGCGTTGGGCCGAACCCGCTGTTTAAGACATGTTTAAACCGTTTGTCAAAGAAACCCAGGTCCGAATGTTTAAGCAAGTTTCACCCAACCCTCTCTTGGCTTTGGGATTGTCACAGTCTCCGGGATCGCCAGTGATACTCCAATAATGCCTCGGCTGCGCAAAGGCACAGGCAGGGTTCTAAGTCATGCCTACGTGCTCAGCTGTCCTTTGTGGCGGGGCAGTTCAAATAAGTCATGCGAACCCTTCCTGTTCCTCTTCCCCACGCTGGAAGCAACACAACATGCTACACAATGACCTTGTCCCCTCCCCCATAAAATTGGCTGTGACCATGGCTGTACCTGCTCTTGTGCTTTTGTATTGTCGGTACCCGATGAAACGACGAGTACCAAATTCCAAAGTTGTTTTGCACACATAATTCGCTCCCCCAAGAGGACAAGTAGTACTCAATCCTAAAAGCTAGATGCATTCGCAAAAAGAAGAAAGGGTCTCCACATAACTCTTCGCCAAGCCCACCCTTCGCCCAGAAGCTAGGAAATTGCCTGAATACTGTACCCCAAAAGGCCCCCCAACTGGCCCAGAAATAGCTTCTCAATGTGGTTTCTACTACTTGTACATCAAATTCAAGAATGCAGAAACAAGTCAGTTGCCCCAACCCGCAAATGTATTCATCTAAGCCTTCTTGAAAAGAGACTGGCCAACCATTGTCCAAGGGGGGTAGCAATTACAGCCGAAGCCAAAGCCCTGATACTCACTTAGATGGCATGTTTTAGGGTACCCAATTCAGTTCTACAGAATAAATCAACTACACAAAGAGGACCGAAGAAGGACCGAAGAGGACGGAAAGGACTGAACAGGACTGAAAACAACCGATGCCGAATCAACCTAAACAAATACTGAACCAATACTAAGCCAGTACTAAGCCTCGCACTTTGGCGATTGCCTATGCTGCGTCAATGCGCGAAACTCTAGTTGGGATTCGATGCCCAAATGTGGCAATTGCCAGTGTACAAACCTGTTGCACCTCCCTGAATTCTGCACACCACCCTTTTCGGGTAACGTGGCTTTCGTCCCGAGCTTGATGCCAAGGTTCTCTGGTCAGCCCGGGCCCACCGCTGGACTGGCAAAGTGCAGCGCAGCTGATGGCGATGCAAACTGGGCCAGGTCTTCGACAGACTCCGATCGGTACCTTACACGAGTGCCAGCCGCTGGTGATTTAGCCGCCTGGGAACCTACCCAAAACCAAGGGTCTTTCAAAGGTGAAATTGCAATGAACAACTGGCGAACTCCAAAAGCAATTGAAAGTTATTGCAAGAAGCTTGTTCCTGCGCGCATGTGATAGCTGGGTGTGAAGCAATAAGCACTCATCCAGCCCTTGCTGTGTCCCTACAAAGAAGAACATGTTATGTTGTGTCACCCAGTCGCTGTTCTGCATCACCTGCATCCCCTTCGATCCTACCCATGCTAGCGGATGTTGCTTGCTTGGCAGACTTCCACCAACTCTTTCCCTTCTGTCCTTGAACACTCAACTTAGCGCGGGTCGGGTGGGGCCACCTCGGGCTGGCCTGTTTGAGCCTCAGGTTTTGGTCTGCGGAAGCCTCAGAGCCATCAAGTTCAGCCGCGGCAGCTATCACGGTGCCACGGAAGCAAGCACATGTATTCAGACGCTTCAAATGTCGCTTAACACCCAGCAAAGCCCCAAGTCCGGGTAGGGATAAACAAGGCAATCAAGTGAAAAGTCCACTTCTTTTGCCGGCGAAACTGGCACGGATCTGGTCGTTTGGGCAATCCGCAAAACCCATTGACCCTTGCTACCAAGATGGGGATACTAGTTGCTAGGCCATGCTAGGCCTTACGATTTATAGGCCCTTGTGACACCTAGAACCTCACATGGATGAAGCGGCCCCTACCGTGCGCTTGCGAGCAGATTCCGAGCTGCTGGAGGCCAGGTATGCGGAAAATCTGGCCGTAGATGGCCTGGCCGGTCATCAGGATCACGAATCCCCCGAGCTGGAGAGAGCCTGACGTGACGGGACGGGACAAAAGGACAGACACCCGGCAACGTGTTTTTTTTGGTAAAACACTCGAGAATGGGGTTTTGGACATGAAATGCGATTGGAGGAAGCTGGCATTTTGGGTTGGGTTGAACGAGACTCTTGCAAGAGGAGAAAAAGCATACCCTTTGGCCACCCGGTCGCTGCTGGAGGTCCACTGCTCTCCAAACTTGGACGTGGGATCGATCTTGTAGTGAATGAAAAGGCCGATGCTCCAAATGATCATGGTCCTCACAACGCATTGTGCATCCAAATGTGAGGAATCCACATTGCGTGGTTTCCCGTTGAAGGGGCTTGAACCACCCCCCTCCAAACACACACTTATATGGTCACATGGAGTGGCGAAAAGGAGGGGGCCCCTTGGAACCCTGTGCGTCGGGAAAAGAAAGAGACTCCTGGAGGCATCCAGCATCATTCGGTGGACGGCGGAGAGGGCGCCCGTCACTGCAATGCCTGTGATGTTGAAGGTCCCGCATGAGAAGATGTAGACGAGCACCACCATCTGCAAAGCGCTACCTTTGCAAAGTCAGCACGAAAGCTGGCACAACCAACCCAAACCCCTTGCAACATGCCATCCAGGCAACCGATATGGAAGAATGGATCATGCTCAGTGAATGTCGCAGGGGGCTGCGCTTGAAGCAAACAGCAGGAGACAGGGGAAAGCATGCATGTGCCCAGGTTACACCAGCCACGCAATGGTGGTGGCAAATCATGAACTCTTGCTATCAGAATCGGGATCGGCACTCCTGACTCCCACTAAAGGACAACCATCAATTTCTGACTGCTACTTCATCTGGGTGAATCATTATATTTCCTAGGTCGTTATGTCGATTTTCTTATTTCAAAGGGCAATCGGAACAACTTAGGTCGTGGCACCGCTGCGCCTCAACACGGCAACTTCTGAAACCCCATCAAAAAGGGCTCCATGCGGCAACTCCTTAAATACCTTGATTTTCAGAGGTTGGACACTTCTGAAGGTGAAGCAACGGACATGCAGCAGCTCACTTTGCATGCCAAAACGCGGCTCCACGGAGCAATCATGGAGGGGGGAGGGAAGTCCAGCCCACAAAATACTGCATATTGAAGCAGCGGGTGTGAGCGGCGGGCATGGCACAACAGGATTTCTCCCAGACCCGTACTTCAGGATTGCTACGTCGAATTCACAGTGAGGTCGGGTGACTTCGCTATAACTTACCCAGACTTCATTGCTAGCTTCAGAAACCAACTGGCCCCCAATTGGTGAGCTATCTCGCTCCACCTTGTCCCCGGCGACAAATGCCAATACTGCAATTCTCCTTTCAAAACTAAACAGTGGCCGCAAATTGGGTTGTTCAAAACGGGAGATCCCCAATCACAATCCATAACCCAAAGGAAATCTACAGGGGAACCCACTCTCCATCTAGATTAAGGATGAATTTTGAATAACCCAAGGGACCCAAGCGACGATTCAGGCAAAGCCGAAAGCGACAATTCAGGCCCGCGACTGTTGGAGAACATCACCATTGTATCCACAATGTCTTCTTGGTGCCCGTGATCATCTCCGGGAATAAAGTAGAGGGCGGGATAGACGATCACGAGCATCATGAGCACTCCCCAAATTCCTTGGTGCTAAACAGGGGGTCGTGATTTCTTTTTACCCAGAAATCATCACCTTGTGGTTTCCCTTGCAAATGGAAAGATACGGGCTAAAGTTGGCACCCAAAATCCTTCGTAGCCGATGATCTCCACGGCTGGAAGATCCACATCCTTCATGAGGAACTCTTCAAGAATCACCTGACTTTGCTCGTGAACCGTTTGACAGTCTCTAAGCTCAGCAAAAAGAAACACAAACACATCCTGCATTTCTTTGGGTGACAGCTTATGACAATTCGCCGCCAACTAAAACTGAGGAATCCCTATGACTCAGAAAACACAACAAAATAATATCTTGTCTAGAAGTGCGGTTTGGAGGGCGGTTTTTCAAACACATCCCTAAACGTCACTCAACTCTTCGGTTGCCTGCGCTGCTTGCACCACCTGCCCCAGCAGGGTAATGACTACCCCGAAGAGCACTCCGGAAGTGCTTGCGCTGGATGCGCCGTCCTCCTTCCCTGCGTCATCCTCCTCCCCTGAGACACTAGCATAGCCAACCGTCACCACGCCTA